AACCTCCCCATGTCAGCCGTACCGCCATGGTTATGAAACAGAATGGAGGCTAGTGGGGAGAACGAAGATAGAACATGGTATAAATTAGGTAACGACAAGCTAAAAAGCCAATGTATAACAGCATATAAAGAAAAAACAGCTTAACAGCATGAGGTAGCAGATCTGATGGTGGGGACTTATGAAAGTCGATGGATGTGGAAGGTTGACTAACGTCTGGTTCAGGTTGTCATTTCTTCCTCTTATGTACACAAGTTGTCGTTGGTCGAGCCATTAGTTCAGGTGGAACTTACCGCCAGTGTACTTTCTCAGGTATGTGTGGCAGTGTTCTAACCCATCCGCTAAGTTGGAGAATGAGCTGAGGCTGAGGCCGCTATTACTTATGACACGAGATCCTCACCTATATGATTTATTGAAAACCAACTGAACCCTGATTTACAAACAGTTTGTAAACCCCGAGTTCAATCTGCCATTGGAAACCGCTAGAATTTTGGACAGCAACTCATGTATCGGTAGGTGCAGTTTCACTATCACTCTTAGAGGCATAAACTTTGTCTCCAGAGGCCGACTTCTCCGGGATGTTATCCGACATTAACTTAGCTTCTTTGGTTTAGCCGCTGACGCCCTGGAAACTCAATTGGTACATCTAGATACCCCTTAGTTTACCGCACTTTTGGGATGTTGTGGGTGTATGAATCACACTTATCGCGGTGCCAACCCTCGTATTTATCATGCCGCATGCCAGAAGCCCTTTCAAAGTAGCACCTCAGCGTACCACAACCATTTTTAGATATCACTTGGAATGAGGACGGCTAAAAAAACAACCATTACAAAAACAACAGCCGCTACAAAAACAAAAGAAAAACACTGTGGCAAACTGTCTGGAAGTCTGTTTTGGGTGGGGAAGTACTAAAGCAAATGAGTGATTAACCATGAGCAATTCATTTATTTCCCGCTTTGATCGAAAGTAATTTGATCGCTGCAAATGCTTTAGCTTTGGTGTGTAAACCTATCGACGGTCAAAGAATTAAGTGAATATGGAAAAGATATTACTTTTTCAGATGATTCAGATTCATATTTGCTGTTTGAGGATAGGGGGCTGTAAGCCAATATTAATACTTTCCCAAGTAGATTCCTACGCCTGTCCAGTCCCCTTATGAACAAGTCAACTGGTGATGTGGACACAACTTCTTCTGGTATTCCGTCCCAGGCGTTGATTGCTCGACGCGAGAACCAGTACTGTGCGGAGATCTTGTTCGTTCTCCGCTTCTGTAGCCTCCTACCATGCCCTCTGAGGTCGTCCTGCCTAGTGGGAAGGAAAAGAGAAGATGGATCAGGTCCGAAGTCATTTCTTAGAACCTTGAGTAGTACGATTAGGTCTCCCCTTGGTCTGTGGTAGGGCAATGCAAAGAGGTCTAGTTCCTTAAGTTGATCTTTATGTGTGAGGCCAGGCATTGCGGGGAGCATACGAGTGGTTGCCCTCGGAACTTTTTCTAGTAGGTCTGCTTCACCCCTCAGAAAAGGATTGGCTGCCTGTGTACAGTCGTCTGATTCTGATCTAATGGTGTGCATAAGATGGTGAACATGTCACCACTTAGTTTCGTAAACGTTCAGCATAATGCTCAGCTTTCCAAAACTCCAAGCTGCCACCAATCGACAGTGAGCTTCGGTTTTGAAGTCATAACTCACTACGACTCCTAGGTCACCGTGAGTCAGTACTGACGTAGGTGAGTCCCACCAATATCGTAGGTGTTGACGTGTGCCCCACGAACGTGATCACACACTTACCTGGATTGATAATCATCAGCCACTTCTCTGATCAGATAAACAAGCTGTTCAGGTCTGCCTGAAGCGCACATATATCCTTGTCGTTCCCAATTTACCGCCAGCTATTTACATCATCAGCGTAGAGAACCACAAGCAATTCCGTGACATTTGGCGAATCATTTACTTATGAGAGAGATAGCAGGCGACCCAGGACAGTGCCTTGCGGCACTCCACTCCCTACCAACTTCCAAGAGAGGGGCTGAAAATTGATCTTTGCTCTTTGTTTTCTACCAACGACGAACTCTCTTATCCATGCAAGCAAACTGCCAGTGATTCCAGAACTTTCCAGATTCCCGAGCGACCTGGAATGAGGTGCCTTGTCGAACACCTTACTAAAGTCTGAGTAAATGACATCTACAGGTATCCCATCATCTTTAGACTTAACCCAACTTTCTTTTACTGTCAGGAGGTCCATCAGGCAAGAGAACTTTCTGCGAAAGCCATGCTGCCGGCGGGACAACAGAGTGTTGCTCTCTAAATGGACTGTGATGGCTTTCTCGATTACTCTTTCTGGGATTTTCGCTACAGTACTAGCCATGCTTACTGATCTGTAATTTGATGGGAGGTGCCTAGAACCTGCTTTGTGGATAGGTGTTGCTATGGCATCCTTCCAGTCAGAGGGGAGTGTGCCCCCACTGGTAGACGGTTTGGATACAGTAGCCAATGGGCCGGCTACATACAGTGCCAGCTCTCTGAACAGTCTTTGATGCAGCTCATCCGGTCCGGTTGAGTTTCCGACGTCAGCATTACTAAATAACCGGAATACGTCCTTGCGATCGATGTCCACAGAGTCTATTCTGTTGGATATCAATGCTTCTACTGTTGAATAAGGGTCCACAGAAGCTTTCTGCATGAAGACCTCAGCGAATTATCCTGAGACACATTCTCTCTGGAAAGTAAGCATACCTACTGCCCGAACAGCCCCCAAAGTTATCCGTCGCCGCAGAGTAACACGAAGCACAAATAACTCGTGCCGTTGTTCTCGACGGGCTACCAAAGCTAAGCGCGGGAAAATTCCGAGGGTGTAACAACATTCGCCCATCTATGTTGAAAGAACGGGCGATTGCCCCGAGCGGCCCACTCTGTAGTCTTTTCCAATACTCTGTGGACGAACAAAACTCCCACGAGAGCGGAAACAGGTCGTCCTTTTTCCCATCTTCAAAGGAGGAGGCAGGCAGAATCCAAACTGCTGTAGACCCATAGTGCTTCTACCAGTAATATCAAAAGTTGTAGAAATTGTGATGGACAACCGCATCAGGGAATATCTGAACACAAGGCAAGCACCAAGCGACGCCCAACATGGCTTCCAAAGGGGTAGGTCCTATGCCTCCAGCGTCCTGACGGCCTAAGATCACTGGACAGCATGCTGGGATTTCAAGGACCCGGTCCACACAACTTTTCTGGATTTCTCGAAAGCCTCTGACATTGTCTCACACCATCCTAATGCAAAAAATACCTGGATTAGGTATACGCAGCCAGGTGCTGTCGTGGCTGGGGAACTACTTTGACTGTGGGGAGCTCTGCACAAAGTCGACCGAGTCCACTCAGCTTAGAGAACATCATCGTCCGGTGTCTCTGTTGTTCCCACTGTTCGTGATTGACCTCACGCTGCATCTCAGCTCTCCTATTCTCCTATACGCTGACGAGGTCAAGTTATGCAGGGTAGTAACTTGGGAGGAGGAATCGAGTGTATTACAGAACGACCTCAAAACACCAGAGGAATGGGCAACAAATGACGAGCTGGCACTTAACCCGGATAAGTGCCTGTCCATGTTTCTCCGTGCTCATGATCCCTAGAAAGTATCCCACTCACTGTGGTTCACGTCCATCCCATACCACAGAAGAAAAAGACTTGGGTTTAACGGTGACGGAGAAACTGGACACCGGTTACGATTACACAGATGAAGCTTCAAAGAATACGGTGTACCATACTTTGAGCGCAGACAACTAGGTTCCCTCACCCCAGAGCTGTTTCTGAAGCTCTACAAGGTCTACGTACAATCCCACTTGCAGGTCTATAATGTCTTTGCACCCCCACAACTCAAAGGAGGCACGAACCTACAGGACAAAGTTCAGAGGCGAGTCACAAAAGAGGTTGGGATGCAACGAAAACCATATGAGGATAGATTGAAAGACCCAAGCCTATGCTGTCTTAGCTATCGAAGGCCACGAGGTGGCTTGATAATGGCTTACCAAACACCGAACAACCCAAGTCACCCGAAAAGAGGATGACTAACTAATGACTACTATGGTGATCCTCGTGGAAACCCTAGGAGAATTGCCCACCAAAGGTCAAAAACTCATGTGCGTTCATACTTCTTCTCCCTCAGGGTCTGCGGGCACTGGAATGTATTATCGGAAGAATTAGCCTCCGCTTCATCGGTTGGAAGCTTCAAGAAAGGGCTAGACAGTAGCGCAGAGACCGACGGTCTACCTACATGTAACTGGAACACCAAACAAGAAACCAACTGACGACACGCCATTCCAACCATTTAAACTCTATGACCAGTTTTCTTTCTACTATAACCATGCCAGCCCTTTTCGCCGCTTCCACTTGCCATGAGTTAGCTTTAGCTACTTAAGTTCTTCATATCCCCGCACCTCTTACTTGGGTGTGAGTACATTATTCCATTAGTTCACTTTTTTCCCTTTTACTCATACAAATTTTCCTTTCTCGGTTTTATCCTCACTATCCTCAGCTGTCTCTAACGACCAGTCCGAATAGCTATCTGGTAACTCGACGTCTGAAGAAGCCAAGTATACCGCAGTTCAAGGTGAACTAACCAGCACTTAACCTGTTCTATATAACCAAAGCTATAGCAGAGGAGTGGCTGAATCTACTGCATCGGAATCCGCCAGAGACCTGGGATCTGTTCCACAAGACCAAGAAGCAAGCAAGAAGAAGTCAACTAGTTTACATAAGCTCGTAAAGCGGATATTGGATAGCAGATATTGAACGTGAAAAATCACTCCGCTATCTCAGTAAACTAATTAGTTCTCCGCCTGAATGGTTAGAGATTCGAAAGGTTAGATCTCTAATCCATCCAGCCACATACTTTCTGTTGATCAGATAACACACCAACCTCTGTGTCAATTATTCTCCACCTACACCACATGGATTGTTTAAAACATTCATATACATGGACTAAGTACCTAGAAGATATTCAAAAGTACATATGCACTATCAGGTTTGCGTGGATAGATTTAATTTCTTGAGTAATGGCGAAGGATCCTCTAGAGAAAGATGGTGGATGGGCGTGGGTTGTTGTTTTTGGGGCATTTATTTCACACTTCATGACATGCGGTTTTGAAAAAGGATATTCAGTTCTTTATGTCGAAATTATTCGCGTATATAACACTAGTGCTGCACTAACAGCGGCTCTAGGAGGTTTCGCATCTGCTATTCGTTTGCTTCTAGGTTTGTGCACAAGTTCAGCTTACTAAATTCAGCCCCTTTGTCGGTTTCCTTTAGCAATATGTATTCCGAACAGAAGGTAGCTATGGTTGGCGGCTTATTGACATTCCTTGGCCTTCTCATATCAGCAATGAGTCGCCATTTCGTCACATTTTTCATTGCATATGGAGCTGTATTCGGTAAAACAACTTCTGAAATTAATTTGTTCAGGTTTTGGATTAACTCTTTCATATACTCCCTCTTTGATCATATGCACACATTACTTCCACAAACGTCGTGCTACCGCCCTTAGCCTTTCTCTTGCTGGATGTGGCTTTGCAACTGTCGTGATGCCGTATTTGTTTTACGTCCTGATCAGTTATTATGGACTACGTGGTGCCATGATTATTCTCTCTGCGTTAAGTCTTCACTACTGTGTTGCTGGCGCCCTGTACTACAAAAAAAAATCTGAGGAGAAAAATGTACCAACTTGTGAAGCCTCAAACGTAAAAGTGAGCATACGCTCACGAATTACCAACTACCTTGTCTTACTACTGAAGATCAAAGTTGCCTCAGGAATATGGGTGAAGTTATTTTTGTTTTCATTCATCTTAAATATGATGGGTTCGTCCCCTGTAACAACTCTTCTGATCGATCATGCAGAACAGCTGGGGGTAGGTTATTTCTGTTTTAATTTACTCAGCCTTGTACAGATATGTATCTTGCTAATAGTTTCTTGGTGTTTTAGATATGCAGACAGTGTAGAAAAACCTGGTAGCACTATTTAATGGGCCGATGAATTTAACTGTTAAAATAAGTTTACATGCTGGGAAAACAGTTAATTGTTTGACTGCGTAGTATGATATCATCACTTTTATGCGAGAGTTAGTTCAGCAGCCCACATAAAATAATTAAATACGGTTGTATCGTAATATTTATTTTTACATATTTTCGCATTCCAACGTCTAATTTTTAGAAGAAAACCGCTATTTATTGTTTTTCTGCGAGAATATTTTGTGATGTCTCGGCTAGGTTGTAACGGCTGAAATGCCTATTTTTTGAGACACCGCCATATTGAGGTTGGTTAGGCGGAAACCTCTGAATGCATTTATCTTATTAAGACAAGCAGGTAGTGGAGATCAAGGTCCAAAGAAGTCATAATGTTGTGTGAACAGGATAATGAAAGAAGTGAGGTCTTCACTCTGACTTATCAGTATTTACAGGTATTTTGCGCTTCCATTCTAATGAGAAGTAGTAAGAAAACCTGACCTTAACACCCATTTTCTTTATTTCACCACAAAGGTTTTGTCGTTGCAGTAGAATGAAATTTAGAACACCTGGTACTTCCGAAACAGTTGTAAATTACCTAACTTAAACAATTGCTTCATGGATATAAGTTTAAGACCTAGCCACTGTAGCAGAATATAATTCCATGTTAGACTTGCTTGTTTGATATGGGACAATGTTACAATGTAATTTGCCTGATGACGTTTTGAGCATAAAATGTTGCTCATAATCATATCGTTTCATATCACTAATGTGATAATGAGCAATAATTTGTACTTAAAATGTCATCAAGTAAATAACATTATATCACTGTGTTGTACGTCAAGTAAACAAATCTAATATGGAGTTGCCTCATGAACCCTATGGTCATACAAAATTAGTTTACTGTTATACAGCATGTAGGATAGTCTTGAGAAAACCTGATGTGATATTCAGTCTGGTGTAGGAAGATTTGTAAATAAAGTTGATAACCTGCTTCCGAATGTTAATAAGCTTAACAGGATTTCCGCAATGTCATTTGAACTTATTAATGTGAGAAGAATCCTTTCATTTTAGTCACACACAGTGAAACAGTATTATTTGCTGGATAGCGTTTCAGTCATAATTTATTGTCCATATGTGTATCAGACTCATCCCATTTGGCTATCATCATAAGGAAGAGTGAAAGCAGTTGACACATGGATTAGCTGAGAGACTTCGTAATGGCCATGACAAGGGGTGGGTGGCAAGAGCGAGAGAGAGCATAATCACTGGGTAATATCTGGCAATTATCTAGGCTGATTAAGGATACTGGCAAGAAACCATCATAGAAAAGAATTTAATGCTGATAACTCCTCAGAACAAGTGGTTAGATTTTCGGGTGGAACACTTTTAAACACGGTCCAAATGGCACACAGTAATGCTTCATTTGTCCAGCATCCAGTGTACATCTGGATGGGAAGTGGATATCGGTCCTCTAACTGTCTAGGAAGTTCAGAAGGGTGTTTCTAGCCCTAAGTGGTGCAAAGCAACTGAATTTAAAGACTACCCAGCCAACAGTTTAAGGAAGAGAGTAATAAATCACTGATTAAAGTAACAGAGGCACTAACTAGTGTATGAGGGTCAGTGGTAGTCTCCTCAGGTTAGTCTACTTCTCTGATCATTCCACGCATAACTCACACCAACAGCCAAAGACTTCATGAACTGATGCCATGTTTTAGTCTAGCCACCTTTAACATTCCTCTAGCCTGAACCTACTTTAGTTAACAGCGTGTGATGAGGCATGCGTGACACATCTCAGCCACCTAAGTCGATGAAAGATCGAAACTGTATCAAGTAACTTCCATCTTCTCCCTGAACCACTACTCCTGATTTCTGCATTACCAACGTGGTAACACCATGATACGAAGCCAACGTTGGTCGAAAACCAGGAGCTTTCTCATGTTTCCTATCTTTAATGATCATGTTTCACAGCTATACAGTAGAATCGAGCGAAGTGAAGTGCATCATACTCGACCCTCAATAAACAACTGTTTATCATGGTGGCATAAGTTGGCGAGAGCCAGTGAAACCTTTTGCATACATGCAGAGATTCTGCCGGCCACTGAGTCGTCAGGGCTGATCCAACTTGCCAGGGAAAAGACAGTCATCGCGCTCAACCACTTTCCTCTCTTTCGTTAGATGGGACAGCGCTAAAGACCAGTCTCGCTGTAACAGTGTGTATTTAGGTGGCGAGAAATGCATCTCAAACATTCTCAAATTGATGCTAACTGCTCCAAAAACACTATATTTTGTCTACATTTTCATCTAACAGGTCTGAGTCTTCTGTATATTCCAGGTTTAATAAGGATTCACTTGTGATATGATCAATGCTTGTGAAGTCATACAACGAGCGAAGAACCTCCATGAGAAAGTCTATGATAAAATTAGAAAAGAATGGACAGTTTAGACATCGTTGGTGGGCACAACTTGACGTCCAAAACTCACCTGATAATTCACCATAGGATGTTCCAGTACAGAGCCTTCAACGCGTTATTGTTCTTACTTGGCACACCTTTTAGTGATAGACACTGTTATAAGACTTCTATCGGCGGAGTCGACTGCCTGCTTCAGGTTCAGAAAAATGGCGAGAATCAGATGCCAGTAAGCGTGCTTGTGTGTCCCTGTGGAGGGGGGATGTGTTTGACTTAGAGTACACAAACGACTTCTCGTTAAAGGATGAGTATGCTGCCTTGTAGTTCATGCTCTTTTTTTATATGATTGTGATAAATGTTCATTGAAAGTGAAAGATATGAAGAGATTACAGGTTTTCGACCATGGGTGTCTTTATAACGTTGCTCATGTTTGCTGGGTCGACCACATGAGTTATGCAGAGGTTAGGTGAAGGATACTAGGCAAGAAAGGTAAGTCGGCCAATGAGGTTGTTTAGCTTCAGCGACTGGAACGGCTTGGAAATGTGTTGCATATACCGAGCTACTACTTATCCCGACACACAATGTTAGGATAAGTTGCGTTAGTTTGAAGGGGGCTCAGGATCGTCAGACCAAGGTACGACACCAGTCTATGAATTACCTGATTTTTGGTACTAGCAGTGTGGGGGCTTGCAGACTGTCTGCTTGGTGTCCGCAGGATGATAGGAGTCAGTGACTGAGAACTCTTGGTGATGAGTGAAAATCAGTCCCAGTGGGGTAGATGTGTTCACCCAATGACGTTTCCTGAGGCTTGAACATTTTGAGTGACCTGGATTTCAGAATGTTTCCTCCCCCCATGTACCTTTTTTCCACTTTGATATCAGTCTTTTTCTGTCCTTTTTTCTTTGAATGCTACTGTGAAGTATGGCAGGTTGAACCGTTGCACTTTTGTGCCCGGTTCTATGTTGATTTTTTCTATTTGTCTTTACAAGATCAGGCAGTAGTTTTCGAACGTGTTAAATCTGAAAACTGTTATCCGCTAAGCTACTGGGGCACAAGAGAGCCACCACTTGTGAAATGGGTATCATTTGTTGTTTTCCGATACTTGTAATTTCTTGTTGCTATACAGGGCCGAATCGTTTCACCTCTGTTGGTAGATGGGCTCCTATGAGGACGCCTCGAAACTGCTGGAAATCCATGATGTCATATTCATCATCCGGCAGTACCGAGACATCAGCACAGGAGACCATCTGACAATGACGGAGATCGTACCATTCGGCCCTGTACTGCAATAGTTCTATTTGGACAGTATATTGTGTTTGAATGGAAATCTGAGTGTTGAAAGTTTCAATATGTAGTTAAGGTTATAGCTCTAGCCAATAAATCTGTCACTTGATGAAACAGGTCATTGTAAAAACAATTATTTGCATATGATGAACAGTGACACTAACCGTCTTTTTAAAAATCTGTATATCGTGTGGGGTACTTGTCAGTTAAAAAGTGGTTGAATAACATCTTGTAAATGAATGAGCTATAGTTTTGAATGAAGTTGATGAATGGGTAGGTAGTAAAACAGATTTTCAGACTTCTGCTTTGAGGATAGAAGGCTATAGGCCTATATCTATCCTTTGCAACTAGATCACTGTGCATGTATCCATTCCTCGTCAGAAAACAGCGACCAGAAAAGTCTGATTCAAATAATGCTTAAAGATGGCAGCTCTTACTAATTATTACACTTGTCTAACCTGAGGGTATGACAGTAAATCAACCACTGGGTGAGAAAGATTGCTCAGTACAGTAGTGCGTAATGGAAATTCGGCTGATGGAGGCCGTCCGTTCTTTCTGAATCATATGAGAAGTTATAAGTGGCATAAATGCGGTCGAATTTTTCATTTACTCCTAAGAATTATCAGTTTTCAGTTGCGTCGACTGCTTTAGAGAGACATAGAAAAGATGCTTTCTTATATCCTGAAAAGAAAATTTGTCTTTGACTTCTTTCATAAATAAGGAAAGTCGTAGAAATTTAAGTTACCTTTCCAAGTGACATTTACCAAGATTTACCAAGATTTCTTTGTCACATACACACCGGTACTTTGGTTGCCCAATAAATTGAACGCAGCTGTAAAAGGTTCGTTTGGTTACAGTTTCGACAGGATTTCTGACTTAACATACGGAGAGAAAAAATACTGAGTGTTTCTGGCAAGTCTGAGATAAAACAGTGTTGCTAGTGAACGTTCTTTATTAGAGAAAGATACATATGTTGTTACTTATATTACTCCATTGCTGATTGGACCGAAGTGATCGGTCTCTATTGGTACATGGGCTCCCGCGTGATTGCCTTAATACTGCTTGTGTTTCAGTTTTGTACTAATAATGGATAGCGGCTATCCATGGAATCGAAGACATGCGTTTCATCCTGTCTGAGACTTGTCAGCTGGATGCACCTGCTTTCCAGTGAGCTACATTGTTCTCACTAAATCCTAAATAGGCCAAAACGTGGGTCCTAGATTCTGCTGCTAGCCACTATCCATTAATATAAGATTGAAACGGCAAGCACTATCAAGGAAGGCATCTACGCATGAGCTATATGCCAGTACAGGCCGATCAATACGGTCCAGTCAACGACGGAATAATACAAGTAACAACAATAAAAACTATACCCAACGCCTAAAAAGTGACTATAGTGAGTCGGTGGCCTGATCTATAACTTTCTGGAGTTTGAAGCGATTGGTCCAGAGTTCGTGTCTTCGTGGGAACAACATCGTCCACTGGGAGAAGGTACATCCCGCTAAAGAGTCCGAAGTAAGGTGAAATGTGCGTCCTGGATTTCATTGCTAGCCACTGTCCATCACTAACACAGAATGATAGATATCATATCTTTTGTTAGTTTTTCCGTTTAGTTGTTATGCCAAGAGCCAAAACAAATTTTTAAGTGACACAAATTCAGCCTACTAATAAATCACACTACGCGTGTATTCAGTCTATGCTAAAGTTATTTGTTGTACACATGAAAATAATTTCAGTAGCACTTTCAGTCGACAAAAAATACTTTACAGAATGTTTGCTTTGAATCCTTTCTCTGAATGAAGTTAGCTAAGGCTTGTCGGCCTATTAATTCGATTTTCAAGCATATCTAATACGTAAATCTGTACCGGGGTAAGTCACGGTGAAATTGTTCACTTTTTGTTATTTTTAGACAAACTTTGAAATAAAATCAATGATATTTAAATACTTTCTAAGGAATTTGATAATTGGTAATTGATATAAAACTTATTTTTTCTGTAATTTTCCCTACCATTCACTCTTTGATTGTTTGAATTTATGAGAGGAATAGAACATGTAGGCAGTCTATAAAAAGAAACAGTTTAAAAGAGATTTGGTTGCGTATTTATAAAGGAAGTAAGTTCTACAGTGATTATCATGGATTTAGGATAGTGGTACTTGTTTTCCTGTATTGTGTGGATCTATTTTAAAGTACTTTCTTCAAGTGTAAGCTCCAAGGATGAAATAAGCTACAGTTACAGGAAAAAATACATGTGTAAAAATTAGTTTACACTCCTACATAAACACTCTAATCGAAAACTCAAACAGGTTTTTTAAAAATGTTTCTGAAGATTTCTCTCGTTTGTCTTTTACATTAATATGCATATTGTGTACTCTTAGGATTGCCGTTATATGTTCTTGAGACGCCATTGGCTGTTCAAGGTCATTTCTGATTTATTGGCTGCAGTCGCCACTTTTTAACTTCACTGAGCTTTTTTTGTGTGTTTTGGGAAGTATTATCTGTGCGATTCAAACATCTATCTGTTGTCAGTATAGTGTTTTTATCAGATTGGTTATATTGAAATTCTTTGTGATAGAAACTTAAACATTTCTTATCTTTCGAATATTTCAGTATGTTGGCAGTAGTTCAGTACAATTACTGATGATTGAAGGCACTGTACAATTGGTAATGAGAATAGCTTTGGGATTCTTTTTCGATATTCGTTTCATAAGACCTTATAGAGGTCTGATATGGACTATTGGGGTAGCTTTCTCCTCTGTGATAATTATTTTCATCGCATTCGCTACTGATTTGAAACTGTTATCAGCTGTCATGTTTTTCAGAGGAGTAGCTCTAGCTCTCTACATCTCTCAGCAAGCTGTAGTTTTATCAGATTTATGTGAAGGTCAACCAGAGACAACTAGTCAGACAATTGCTATAGCACAAATCTGTAAAGGATTAGGAACTTTATTTGGATCTTACTTTGCTGGTGAGTTATTGTCAAGTTTACTGATTGGTCATTTTTTTTTTCATTTGTATGGTTCATATGATCATTATCCGTGACAATAGCTTAATGATTACGGCATTTAAATTTCAACCACCAGGTCATGGGTTTTAACCTTCAAAGTCAGGTAGCATGACTAGCTGTTATGGAATATAAGTATTTAGCCGAATTCATCTTGGTGACTAGCATTGGAGTCAAGAACGGGTGTTTCGTCCTATTCGAGTCTCGTCAGCTGGATGTAGCTGCAGCCCTGTGAGTAATGTCGTTCCCACTGTGACTCTGACCCAGCACCCATCCCTTCAAACTCCAAAGCGTTATCCAGCAGGTCACTGGAGCACATGTGACCCATCTTTTATGCAGCGGGTATTATATGTTATTTTGGTACTTGTAAGTTCCGTTTGCTATGCAGGGCCGAATCTGTCGACCTGCACCCAGTTAACGAGTGCCAAGTAGGATGGACCGTGCGTCCTGGATCCCCCTGCTAATCACCAAGGTGAATACAACGTCGCGAATATCCAGGCAGTATCGAGGCATCCTCATACAAGCCCATCTACCAAAATAGGTCCAACAATTCTACCCTGTGTAGTAACCGAAAATCAAAGTATCTAAAAAAGAAAGTACTTAGCCATTTGTGATTGCTTGTTTCATCCATTACTCTCTTCATCAAACTAACAGAACCTGTTGTAGTTATTCTACGATACAGTACCGTCCAAAAATTACTCATGAGACAAACTGAGAACATTAGTTTCTGCACTGGTAGCCATGATTGTTGTATACTGTCTTGCATTTAATCAATTGCAAATTATATGCTTAAAATGTGAAAGAGATGCGTTAATTATTTGAAGAAAAATTAATTTTTAGTCAACTGAAACTTGGTGAGTCCTCACAAATCTTTAAACTGAATAACTGTCAAGTGCTTGGAATTTTAATGTGAATTCCTGACCTATGGTTCAAGCCAAGTCTTTTGTGAAGAAAAGTACTCAACCGTGTCAATGGATGACGGTTATGCTATATCCCAAATCGGCAGAATTAGGAAGCTGTGGACTATTGGATCCAGGCTTAGTGGCTGAATGGTTAACGCATCCACTGTGAAACCTGAAATCCCCGTATTAGAATGGAACAGTTGTCCAGTGCCTTTGGGTTTTCAATGGTCTTCCAGCTATCAGTCCACGATGAATATCACCTTGGAACCTGATAAACAGTGTCATGACATCAATTAGTTAAAGCAATTAGGAATCATATCTTTTCTCACAGCCTTATACATCATTTACGTTAACAAAGCGTACAAGAAGGTAGTTCATCCGTAACACAATCTATATTACTGGCCATATGCATTTTCATGCATTAGACAGTGAGACAAATTTGTTGGGTAGGAACTAACAATATTAATTGCTTACCCGAATCTGGGTAGGTGAAACTGGGTTTGAACCCGTGACTCATTGCTCGATAGTTGCCAGCCTAGACCGATGAACTACATTTCTATCCATCAGTATTAGGTCTTCAAAGAGGCTGGCAATTGTGTAACAGTATAAATGACAGCCCCATAGTAACACTAGTCAGTAGGAAAGAAACCTGCGAAGTTGATTAAAAGGCACTCAAGTCTTCAGATCCAATTAATGCACACATCAAAAGTGTTCTCGAACACAGTAGACAAGATGCAGTCAATTTTAAAACGACAATTAAAATTGCATCTATAAGACAAGATGAATATGTTTAATTGCATAGATTGCTGTTAACTCTGTAAGCTGCACTTGTTTGACTTACATTGTACACAAATTATGCTCAGTTTACATGCAACATATTAAGATAACTATCCACTCGGTTAACGTACGAATGTATAATAGTACACCCAGGGTGTGCACTTTATGACAGAAAAGTCAGATAGTTCCAAATTGAGTCTAGTTTTAATTTTAAACATTTACCACTGTATTTAAATTAGAATGTAAACTTTCTGGGTGCAACTTTATTCAGAGTTTTCCAGGTTTGTATGGTCATTCTTTTTGTGACTGTCTGTGGGATCCACTTAGCAACCACATGTGCATTTTTGCAGCAGACGGTTTGACACACCTACTATATGGGGCCCAGTGATACTACCTGACTACCTTAACCTCACTAGGTGGAACAGGTCTCGAACCAGTGATCTGTATTGTCAAAGCTTTTCCAAAACTTAAGAACTAGTTCACTGAAGTGCAGTTATCCTGAATATTTTCTTCCTGATAAGCCCGAATAGAGACGATATATCGCAAGCTGTGTCATAACAAGTGAACATCCATGTGATAAAGGTCACTGAAATGAAAACAATGACGTTAAAAAAAGAAAAATCTTAAATCATGCAAGCGATAAGATGATAAAGGCGATCAAGTATACAATTATCAAAGCAGCTCAGATCCTGAAGGATGCATCTGCTCCACTGTCAACAGTTTCAAGCTAGTTCTCGTATATCCTCTCAATGCCAAATTTAATTGTTGCACAGATTTACTGTTTACTCAAGAGCTCAGACATGAGCAATGTTTCAAGGAAATCTTGATGAAGTACTCATAGTTTCGTTCAATATTCAGTTTCAACCGTCATCTCTGAAGAGAACATTATGGGCTGCTGTACAGTGTACCTGCTTATTGTCAATCCTTTAAATACCTAATCATCTTCAAAAATGATAAAAGTTGATAAACGCTCAACAGGTGTTTTATATCCATTTTGTTAAACTTTCTTATCTGCCTAAAGCTCTTCATAACCTTATCGAGCCAATTTATATTGTAGGAAATCGCTTTATTTGTTATCATGAGACCTTGGTAACCATTTGTTCATACGGATTCATCTGGAAAGTGGGAATTTCAAACTTGATCAGTGCACAATAACATGTTCCCAATAGCAGAGTGCTCTGTGATGTGCTTATAACCAGTCAGAATATAGGCTTCTCATTTCGAAACAAAAAAAAACACAGGACCTTTCGGACATAAACTCGAGCAATATAAAAGTTTGCTTAAATGTAGGGTATTTAAAAAGTTGTTTATTCTTTGGATCGATAAGTGTATACAAACTTAGGGAACTATGTAAAGATTCTTTCAGATCGAATCGAAAAATCATTGTATTGCCTGTTACTCTCTTACTGGCAAGTTTACTTTCAAGTTTAATCATACGAAAGTCTTGCAAAACATATTCATAATAGCAAGACACGTTACAAACTTCGATTAATTCAATTGATCGAAAAAATTTTTTAACAAAAAAATACGCGAAAATTAACAGAAGTAGAAGGGTTACTATAATACGCAGAAAATCGAAACAAAAAAAACTAACGAATGTACGAATCAGCAGAAAAGGGAGAATATGGGTGCTATAGTCTTCAGTTTGATGAGAGAGTGAATGCAAAGTATTGTAAGATTCATTAAATGCCTTGGTATATTTTTACAGTCTCTGCTATGGAAGTCCTATTCACTGCCTCGACGTGAGTATGGGAGTGTCTCCACAAAGTAAAAATGTGAAAGTGAATGTCCTGCATTTATCACCGGATTGGTAGGTAAATAGGCTCCACGTTAAGGAGTTGGAAAACCCTGATTCCAAACCAATGGTGGATACGGGCTCCATGTTCCAGAAGGAAAGAATAGCGTATGCATCTGCTTTATTCCCTGTCAACCATAGGAATGTAGCTGCTGATGTTGCTCCACTGCTGCGTAGACTAGAATTTAGATCAAGGGCTCAAGGAGTGGTCTCCTGAAACAAGCACCTTCTTCGGTCTGGGCACCCGAGGAGTATCTTGGTCTTCACACGAAATATGAGTTCACAGCATACCATAAAGGTTTCACAACGGTTGTCCACCTTTTTGCGAATATTCAAACCATCTGCGCTTCGAACACTGTAGCCTTGTGGCGCATTTTTTAGTGCCCCTGCTGTATCAAGTTAGTGTTCTAATAAATAAAGTAATAAATCAGTTGAAACACTACTTAGCCTCGTTTTCCTTTTTCGTGTTTTGAATATCTATACCACAGTAAAACATATCACTAGTTCGTTTGAATAACGTAATAAAGTGTTCTAAATGACTGGTTATATATTATTTGTTATTGTGTGTATTAACATATTTTGTTGAGGATCATGTTGGCCTCTTCAGTACCGATAACTTTCATCTGTGTTAATCTTGTTACTTTTTTCTTCTGTGTCTTTTGTTTTATAGGTTTAATTAAAGACTATGCAGAAGATTATCGTCCTGCATTCATTTTTCTTGGTGGAATGCAATTCTTGGGTTTTCTGACAGCGCTTATTGCATCTGTGTGGGCTAAATGGAATGCACGCAAAGAAAAGGCTTTAGAGGCTACCGAAAACTTAATCCATAGTAGTAGTCTAGGCAATATATCCGATGTATCATCTCATTTTGCCTTAAATACAAATGTAACCAGTCCATCAAATGAATTAATGAATAAAAGTGAAGTTGTATCCGCTTTTGTTGTACATGAAAACAACCCTGAACTAACCACTTTACAGAATCCTAAAATATGATGCTATGATACCTTTCAAAGTTATGATTCTACTTGCACTTCACGTGAGTGAAACATATATACGCAAAGGTTTTTTTCGAGTGAATGATTACTACATAACTCCTGAGTAGTGTTGTTCGAGAGAATTATCTTCAGAAGTAAAGCACATTAAAGCTTCGACAAGTGTTTGCACTGGCACAATTTTAATTGATCAGAAACGCTTGAATATTTATTCTTTAGATTCTAAACACGTTAGATAAGAAGCTACTTCTAAAAGTAACACCCAAAGTCACACCGACACTCAACTTGCAGGATTATTTTGTATTTTACGAGCTTCTTATCCCAGGTTACGTATTAGATTGCTGACCAGGAAATTTCGCTGGTTGGCTAGGGTAAACTTCGAATTCTGCTGAGAACGTGTTAAATCACAGAACTGAATATACTAATTTCTTACCTTGGAAAAACTGTGCCCGTTTACTGTATGAGACAGGTAAGTTATAAGTGTATATTCTGATATGGCTAAAAGATGCGCAATATATTTTGAGTAAAGAAAGTATAAATGACCGCGATAGATCACAGTGTTATTGAATCGGTTAAAACTACTCAGTATATGACTAGCCTTTCACTATGCTTATTAAATTTATTGTAGCGCTGCCAAGGTCATAAAAGAAAATCAAATTATGCATTTTAAAAGACTGAGCTAAAATGAATAGACAAGACTTCATAAAAGTTAAATTGTTTAGCGTTAAGCTCCGTATACTGAACATAATATATTCTCTGTTTAGAAGAAACTCAGAATGAGAAGATAAACTGACTTATGGAATTAAACCTATCAACAATTTATTTCGTTGGGGCTAGCGGAGGAATCCAGGACATGCGTTTCGTCCCATTCGGCATTCGTCAGCGGATGCGCCTCAACCTCACTGAGACTTGAACCTCGTACCTATCACTTCAAACGCCAAAACTTTATTTACTAGGCCACTGAGGCACAATAGCCATCTCTTGTACAGTCGGTAGAAGGAGTAGCTACTTGTAGTTCTCCGTTGTATGTATCAACAAATAAACTTATCTACATTAAATTAACAGGACCAGGTATAGTTTTTTCTATCGGAAAACGGCTTAAATGTCTTTGATTATCGCTTATGTATAAATGGTTCTAATGTATTTCAGAGGATTTGATTATCACAAAGAATTAAGTTTTTATTATTTACAATTGAGGTGAATATAAGCGCACAGTAAAGCAACAGAAGTTTTATCGATCTCTTTGTTTTTTTCCACTAGTGAATCGATGAACTCTTCTCGTGATACAGTCGTTTTCATCTGTCTTTAATCCTTGCGGAAATAATCTTCTGCCGAATTTCACTCCTTATTTGTCAGTATTTATCTTTGCAGTATTAGTTTTCAAGCTGTGACACACTAGTTTAGCTGGTCAACTTTCAACGGGTGGGCTGTAAGCTCAAACCTCACTCTACTGAGATCTGGGCATCTAGGTAGTATCATATACCATCCAGATCAGCAAGATGTGTAACGTTACTGAGTTACATTGTTCATATTATCTGTCTCTGTACGTATCACTGGTACATATATTAATCTGATGGGTTGGTCAAAGTTGACATATAAAAAACTTTTTGATCTTCCGCATTTAGAATCAGCTTAACTAAAAAAACTGATGATATGTTCATTCGTGCTCTAAACCTATACTGTATCAGTGTTGAGAGTAGAGAAGACAAGAAGAATTATATAAAAAGGATAAATTTTCATCTGAGATATTTTCAATAAAATCAACTCACCTGTGAGTCACTGAAAGAAGTTTATTTTAAGTTGGCACAGAAAGTGAATAATTAACTCAGATACACACAGACAGATAGACAGAAAGACAGACAAAACTGATGTAGAACCTAGCAAACAACGGTACCATTTCAAACTGCTACACTTCACGGTAGTAAACAAACAACAGGTGGATAGAAAAAGAGTGATATCAAAAAAGACAAAATAATGTGACAGAATAAGCAATATGACTTCTTCAGCACTAACTTCATAGAGAATATGAATATGAAGAGTAAGTATTCAAGCTGTAGGAGATGTAAAGAGTCGATACATCTGCGCTACTGTGATTATTTTTTGGCCATGTCGCCAAGAGTCCAAAACCACTGATTCTTATCATCTTGGGGAGTCATGCCAAGCGGTCTATATCTTCCAGAATGACTCAGACCAATAGTCAGGGGCTTCATCGACTCATGCCATGTCTTGGTCTAGGCACCCTGAACCCTCTTCCCACCTAATTCAGCTCCCCTAGCATGCCACGTCAAGGTAGGTGGTGGCTAGGCATTTTCAGTATGTGTCTAATTCATCTTAGCCGATGTAGGTTCGCAACCTCATTAATCGACTTGTTTATCTTGCCTAGCACCTTAGGATGATCACATAACTCCTCACACGATGATTCCACCAAACGCAAGCAATACTACGAACACACCTGTGGTCAAAACTGTTTCCTGGTCCCAGATTTACATAAAACATTGTTTATCAGTCTAAACATTTTCTTAACCTATCGGTTTCGCACCGTTTGTTATGACATGGCCAGTAGTTCATTTTCTGCACGCATTTTCAAGGTAATTCGCTGACTGGTTAATGCTTACTTTAATATGTTAATGTCTCACTTCTGAACAAGGTCATATTCTATACGTATACATACACACATGTGTTTGGGTTAATTAATTATTAATCACGGAGAAATAAACTCTCCCATCCAACCCAGTCTTCTGTTTTATTCGTCCTGGGTTGGAGTCGGTGGATCTTGGATAGGAAGTTAGCTGTCACTTGAGGGTGCGTATTATATCCGCTCGGAATATATAACAAAAACCATGTAACCACCTCATATCTTCTACTTTTAGCGGCCATGTCTCACAGCCGTACAACAGAAAAGAACGGACTGGAGTGCAGTATATTCGTCCTTTAATAGATAGTCGGATATCTCTTCAGTCGATGCCAGAGACGATGCAGGTTGGCAAATGTCAAACGGAGTTTCTCTGTCCGAGCTGAGATTTCGTCATTAAACAGCCAGTTCGAATTGATGCAGTTCCCGAAGTAAGTGAAGTAGTCGACACATTCCACCACTTCCTTGCCTATCCTCAGACTTGGAGTGGTTACAGATCAGTCCTGGAGCATCTTCTCAGGTTTGAAAGGTGTGAGGTGCATACCAAACATAGTCAGATTTCAGCTCAAAGCTTTCAGAAGACCCTGAATTTTGTCAGCACATTCACTTAGCAGATAAACATAGTGAATAACCTTACTAAAAATAATTGTCATATAGTATTTGAAATGCTCAATTTTCTTATTTTTGTTGATGAATAGAAGTACATTTTTCTGTTTTACAACCCAGCTTTTAGAAGCTTCTGGCATATTGCTATTCATTAACAATTATGCGAAATATATGTTAATTACTAATGTGCTTTTCTACTTTTCTTTCCTCTTTTCAGAATGGAGTGATCAGCCACTTGTCACATGTTTACTGAGGTCAACTCAGCAGATAGATCGACAGATGTGAAGACATGTAAACGTCATCTTACAGATCATCACCACAGATTAGATAATCAATTTTTGAATTACCAAAGTTCTATTTTTCTCCTGCTCTGTTATATTATCTATTCTCTACCATATTTTTCCTGATGAAACCAAATGTCAATTTAGTTAGTATTATTTTGTCCCAGGTTATCCCAGTAACTTTCCGATCTAGATCAAATCACTCATAATTGAGAGGTAATTTTTCTCTCAGCCATTTCTTGTATATCATCCTCCCGTTTAATTCTTATTTCAAGATAAAAAGCTACACAGACTATGAATCTCACTATAATTAGGAAAGTGTTTTTTACTTCTTCTGTCTTAGCTCATTTTTTTCCCAATAAAAAACACTCTAAATTTTGGAACTTTATGCTCGTCCTTCGATCTGCCTGTTAGTTCACTTGAACATTTTTGTTACACGCAAATTCTGGCAGATATACACATATGCATATAGTACACATGTATATATTGTAATTTCATATGTGCATTCTTGTCAATGTATATTTTTTTAACCGGTTAGGTAAAAAGTGTGTCGATAGGCGAGTGTATATATTTCAGTGAAAATGGGATTTCGAAATGTCAGACTTACCGTTTTTATTATGCATAATAATATTTACGCATCGTGGAATGTATGTTAAACTGTTGACCAGTTATATTCATGTCTACAGTTAAGTTTTGTATTAGAATTCGAATCTATTTCTGAGTAGTTGGTTCTGAGCAGTGAGATGTAAATACTATCATTCCTGCCTAAAATATACCATCATCGGGTTTCGTATGGATTTTTACTGATTTCTACTTTCCGTTTTCAGGGTATTTCTTTCATTTGCCTTTGTTTATTTTCTGCACCGAAAAAATGCAGGATCTTCTGGGTGTGTTGAGCAGAAATGTTTGGTTTGCGTATAGCGTCTGTCAAATGTAAGACGATGCTCCAGAAATGGTCTGTAACCACTTCAAATTTAATGATAGGGAGTGAAGTGGTAGAATGTGTTATATCAATTTGATTGATATAATTATGAACAAGAATTTTTTCCTCAAATGTCATCAAGTAAATCATACTGTGTCACTGTGAGGTATATATCGAATAAATATGGCATGAAATGAAATCCTGCCACAGCGCTCAAGTTTAACACTTGTATTAACGCCTTATTCATTTTTAGATTTATAGCCTATGAGCACCACATATTTAAAATATTCTTCTCATGGTATGTCTGAAAATAATTCGAAGTGTCTGTTCAAGCCTTTTTATAAAATATACACAGTTGCCATGATTTTTCAACTTCGATTTCAAAGGCAACCTATGAACATAATTTACACAGAAAATCTTTCAGAAAGTTTCCGTTATACCTCTAAAATTGAGCATCAGTATCTGTACTCTCTTATTCAGGTGGATCATCCTTCGGAACTGATAGTTGACTCAGCAATATATGGAGTGGCTTTAAGTGCTAATCTAGCATAAAATCAAGAATCTAATTGTTTATTTGAGTCGTCATTATCTGGTTCATGGCATATTCCTCTAATCTGATTATATTTTCCCTTTTTATTAGTTTTAATGTCATAATGTTCGATTTCTTCAGTTCTAGTTCGAAAGTGGTTGAGAAAAATTTTATCGTTTTTAGCAAATGTGTTATGTGATACGTATCAGCGTAGTAATAGAGTGAAATTTGTTTTTTGTCTGTATTTTGGTGGACGTTTGATCCCAATTATCGATTATGAGTTTTGTGCTAGCTGTGTTTACGTAATATAGGTTTTCTGGGTCACGAGTTATCGGTAAATTCATCTCCACACTTTATTTCTATTCATCTATATATAGTCTAGTATACAATACGGTGTACATGTGTACCTGACACATCGATCCTCTTTTGGTGTATGCATACGCCTATACCTGCATTTACATAATTCATGTGATTTGTGTGCCACGAAAAGTAGTAACTGTTATATGTTTGCAACAATGACTTCAATGGGTGTGATTAGTTAACTTGACAAATAAATTTCTTATGTTTCTAAAACATGCATTGTTACTTTAAAAAAAATCCTTTAGTTTTAAAGATATTCTTATTTCTGTCGAATTTGAAAAGAGTATTTTGTTTTCCATTTAATTACATTTTTACAATTGTACATTCAAAATAACGACATCAGTGCTGATTTTCAGTCCAATCTATTTTAATTTACCATAATTTTTATGACCTGCGGGGAAGATTGAAGCTTATTGTGGCATCTCTTTAACCATAAACTAATACTATTGAAAATCATTTTATCAATTTTGAGATAATCAGCCTTTTATATAGTATATAAAGAGTAAATTGACATATGGGGGATATTTGACCGACCCCTCCTTTGAATACTTCACCATTGAAATTAAAAATAATCTCAAAGTATTCCTTCTATGCACATGAATGTCTTGGTAAATCTCTAACAATATATACACCTTTCATTAGTATTTGCATTATTTTCAAGGTGAATAAAATATAAGGTAATGAGAATAAGAGTAAGACTTGTCTACTTCTGCTTATTAGAAATGTCACACAGTCAAACAGTATTCCCTACTGGATAACGTTTTGGACATAATTTATTTTCTATGGTCATATCAAGATAGCACAGTTTATATAGTTCTAATCCTCTTTAATTCTTTGTGATAGGGGTAGGAATATTCCATATATCTGGGACAGGTGCAGAATCATTTCTATTGAATGTAATTGGTGATTCGATAAACAAAGACTCATTAGCATTAGCTATACATAAACAAAAACCGATATTTTGCGTTCAAAAACGTTTTGTGAAACCACCTTCTCTACCTTGTCCTTAGCAATTCATTTTGGCTAGTTTGTCGAATTCATTTCAGTTCACTGCGCATACTTCAGTTTTATCACCAATATTATCACCATTTTACACTTCATTGACATCAGTTGACCCCATATTTCACTATTTAATATCAATCCGTTCCCTATTCGTTGACCTACTTTGCATGCTTCAGTCAAATTATCATCATTTGGAACAAACATTCAGTTATCAATCTCTCCACCCAACTTAGTTTTTAATACTGTCGTTCTATCCAACCCTATTGTGCGTTTGCGTGCATAGCCATAGGTGAACGTTTGTCATAATTCCTCACATTGTTAAGACCTACTGTTCTTAATCTAGCCATGTTTACTTGCTCTGTTATTGTAACTGACAGTGGTTGACCACTTTGATCTATGTATTTGACCCTGCAATCATTGCATTCAACGGTTTGGTGGTTGAAGGCACTGTGTTCAAGCACAAGGATATCCACAAAGCGACATGGATTTCACCAGATGAACATACTACACTGAAAGTCAGATCGACTTCATCTCAATGTGAATAAAGTGGAGATGCAGCCTACTTGACACAAGGTCAATAAGAGGAGCAGATGTAGACTCAGACCACTCACTGTCTAGTGCAAGCAACCTTCCTTCTAAATCAAGTTGGAAGCCTTCAAGGAAGTTGATGACAGACGACTACAGTTCAACACCAAGAACAGAAACTGGAGGACGAAACTACAAAGAATATCTTCACGTCAGCCATCAAGACAAAATGGAAGATGTCGAGCAACATCCCTGAAGAAACGTGTGTGGATGATCACTGGAACTCTTTGAAAGCTATGTGGAAAGAAACCTGCATAACCGTATTAGGAAGGAAGAAGAAAGAAGACAAGGACTGGAATGGATCTTGACGGACACATGGGAGCTGACAGGAGAGGGAGAGGAGGATGGTGAAGCAGAAGATAAACCAGTGCAAGGATGAACGATGAGAAGAGGAACTGAGTACAATGTATAAAACACTACACTGGACAAAGAAGTGAAGAAGAGTGCACGCAAGGACAAAAGACACTTCCACAACACACTGGCAAGTGAAGCAGAACAGGCTGCAGGTAGGAGAGACAGAGACCTGATAACATTGTATCAAACAACCAGGTTACAGTCTATCTGGGGAGAGATCAACACACATGAAACCAATAGAAGATGATGAAGGAAATTTAATAACCAGTGAAAAGAAACAAAGGAAACAATGGGCCGACCACTTCAAGAAGCTCTTGAATCGACCACCAACTGCACTTCGTCCACAAATACCACCTGCAGCCCAGCCACAGAACTACAAGTGAACATAAGCCCTCCGACGAAAGTCGAAGTCTCGAGCGTCATAAAGCTACTGAAATGCAGGAAAGCAGCTGGACCAGATAGAATCCGGCCAGAAGCACTGAGAACAGACGCAGAGACAACAGTGGACATGCTCACACCACACCACACCACACCACTATTGCAGAAGGTGTGGAAGGAAGGGAAGGTACCTGCCAACTGGTTGGAAGAAGGGCTACCTTGTCAAACTCCCGAAGAAGGGAGACCTAAGTCTCTGCAAGAACTGGCGCAGAATCACTCTCCACCATGTCCACCCAAAGCAAGTAAAATGTTAAGCCGCATCATCTTGGAGAGGCTTAAGGATGCACTGGATTCAAAACTACGACCGGAACAGGCTGGCTGACTGGCTGGCTGGCTGGCTGGCTGGCTGGCTGGCTGGCTGGCTGGCTGGCTGGCTGGCTGGCTGGCTGGCTGGCTGGCTGGCTGGCTGGCTGGCTGGCTGGCTGGCTGGCTGGCTGGCTGGCTGGAATCAGAAAGCAGAAATCATGTGCGGACCAAATTGCAACGCTTCGCGTCATCATAGAACAAAGTATAGAATGGCAGTCAATCCTCTACCTCACCTCAACTTCATCGACTTTGAGAAGGCCTTTGACAGCGTTGACCAAATGGTAATTTGGCAGTTACTTCAATACTACGGAATACCACAATCATTTATCAGCCTCATTCAACAACTATATGAAGACGCCACATGCCAAGTAATTCACAATGGGAAGCACAGTGATGCTTTTGAAGTGAAGACAGGAGTGAAACAAGGCTGCCTACCATCACCCATGATACTCCTGATTGTGGTTGACTGAACTGGA